CCCACCAACTGGACTTCTGTTACCCTGGTAGATTTGGGAGCACTAGCCTTCTTAAATGGTGCCTTCTGATTTTCCCTAGCTCCCCCACCCCCCAAATATCATCCCATAGTTAAAGTCATGGCATTTATTACTGTTACTCTTGTAGCTTTATCTTTACTTATGTCCTTCCTCTGTCACTACCTTGTACCCCTTGTAAAGGCAGGAAAAGTGTTCCTCAGTGAATAACAAAAATAGCATAGTTTGCTCCCTTGTGCTTTGAGCAGTGAGTATTTTTAAAGGAACAAATAATTGTATCCATGTGGAGATGCTCTGAAAAGAGAAAAAGGAGATTGTCAAGTTAAAGACTGGTGATTTTATGTTATCCCACAGAATTTAGTCACAACCCATTTCAAGGTAGAAGGGGCAAACAAATCATCTAAGTACAAAACTAGATAGATAGCAAGTGGAGGGAGGACTAGATCAATTAAGGTTTTCCTACTTAGTGGCTTCATGTTTGTCAAAATCAAGCCCTATATTATTGGCTTCATGTGCCATAGTTGCGAAAATCAACATCTAGCCTCAGCCTCGCCAGGACCAGTGAAAATATCCTTGGAGCTGCTTTGCCAATACTAACTCTTGACTTCCACCAATCTTATAGGTACCAGCTTTAGAGAATGACAAGGTTAGAATATTTTCTCCTTTTTGTTTTAACATATTGGATTTTTATAACACTCAAATCATTGTATTGTCTGGGGCTACCGGAAACTTAGATCAGTGGTTTTCAACTGCTGTGCTGCAAGAGTTTTTTTTAAAACATGCAGTACTGCCCTAGTCGGTTTGGCTCAGTGGCTAGAGCGTCGGCTGCAGACTGAAGGGTCTTCGGTTTGATTCTGGTCAAGGGCATGTACCTCGGTTGCAGGCTCGATCCCTGGCCTCTGTTGGAGTACATGCGGGAGGCAACCAATCGATGTGTCTCTCTTACATCACTGTTTCTTTCTCTCTGTCTATCCCCATCCCTTTCACTCTCTCTAAAAGAATCAATGGAAAATATCATCGGGTAAGGATTAACAACAACAACAAATATGTAATACCTGACTATTTAGTCAGGTGCACAGACCTCTTTCCCCCTTTTTTTTTAGTTAAAAAAAAAAAAGAGGACAACAGCCAATGTAACAATAGCTGTCCAGTGTGGATGATTCAAAATTATACCGTGTTTTGTTTTTTTGTCAGATCGGCAAAAAATAGATATTTTGCTGTGCCCCAGAATTTTAGTAATTAGTTTGTGTGCTGGGGGATGAAAAAGGTTGGAAATCGCTGACTCAGATTGTGAGATAGCGGTGGCTAACGGCACATTTTAGCTCCTCAGTGTACCAGCTGTCTGACTTTGGGTAAGTCACTGAACTTCTGTGCTCCGGTTTCTCATCTGGGAGTTGGGATTGGGTAATAATAGTAACTGCCCCATAGAATTGTTACGGTACATGAACTAGTTCATTCATGGTTAGCGCTTTTCTGGAACATTGGAAATGGTCGATAACTGTTAGCTGTTGTGGTGATCATGGAATACACAAATCGCTTGAGCCACCTTTATGCCATCATTATTTTCTTTTTCTTGATAAGGAGCATGGTCACTGAAATTTCATAATGAAGACAGTGATGGAGATACATTTCAGTGGGATCTGGAAGGTTTGGTTATGTAAACATTGGACCTCCCGGGTGGAGAAAATGGTGTGAGTGAACTCTGACTGGAGAAACCTGGATTGTCCCAGGAAAGGGGAGGGATTCAGGTGGACTGCAGTGTAATGTGCTCCATGGGGAGCAGTGGGCGGTCCAGTAGGAATAGAGATTTGGGGTGAGCCCCTGGAGGTCCTGAGATGGCAGGCCAGGGTTTGGGACTGTGGGCCTTTGAGTACTGAGATCCCTTTGCCGGCGAGGCACAGAGGGGATTAGAGGGAACAGGACCTGGGCCAGGAGACAGCTGGGAGGCTGTTGAATTAGTAGGACTAGAGAAGAGGATGTTGCTAGCACTTGGGAATGGATACAGGGGGTAGGAGGGTCTCCAGCTTAGGTAAGTGCCGCTAACAGGCACAGGGAACTCTGGCGTAGGGGTGGTTTAGGATAGAGGAATATGATTTCAGTTTGGTGAATGTCAACTTGAGGTACATACAGATAGGACAACCCCCCAAAAAACACCCCTTTGATAGAAATTCAGAAGTGAATGCAGGCAAAGAGATCAGCTTCAGAGATAAAGCGCCCCCGTTCTGAGAGTGCTAAAGACAGAACAGAGGAGATTGCTGAGACCACGCCCACAGACTCAGAAGGAACCCCACATTCTTTGGACAGAAGCAGCTGGGGCATGAAGCAGGAAGCAGGGAGTGGTAAGCGCTGGAGTGCGGGGTTTGATTCCGCTGCTCTGTGAGAGTTAAACCTCTCCTCACATTTCCTACGTGCCTTCCAGTTTTTCAATCTGTTCATGGACCAAAGGAGAAATGCCGGTTTCCCTTTTCCCCATCACATACTGATGGGCAGTAACTCCCAGGATTCCTTTAATACTGGGCCGAGAATTAAATTAAAATGGCATTATAACATTTACATATTTTTTTTGTTACAAAGTTAGAAGGCGGAGACTCTGAAGACATACCTTCAAATTTTAAAAAAATTTCAGGACCAAACTGTTTTATAACCCTTCATTTTGTGTGTGGTTTTTCCGTGGGTATAAAAATACTCAGTGGATGTGGGGGTGGTTTCTCGTGTTTTGGAAATGGTGAGAATATGAGATGCTGAGCACTGGGTCCTGGGATGAGAGCTATAATTACTAACTGATCCTTTACCAGGATTGGCTCCTGGGTGGATATCTGAGTTTAAAAACCCAACACTCCAGAATCCCGAGCAATGAGCCACTCCCCCTCCCGATCCCTGGAAATTAAAATTGTGGCGGAGAGGAGAGGGGAGGTAGGATGATGGTTCTTCTGGGCCTTGTCTCCTCTTGTGCCATTTGCCGAGTGTTCGAATCAGGGATGTGACTGAAATGAAGGCTGGTGTGGCTTCTCCTAGCCTGACACACAGCAGCCACTGCACAGCTGTGATGGAAAGAGGTCTAAATATAACCCAGACTCATTTCAAATCCTCCTCCCCCAAGTCTTGGCGGATGTGGTACACGCCCTAAAAATACCTGCTGTCTGAACCTTGAGGTATCTGAAGAGGAAGGGACGGGTGAGAGTGCGGTATTTGGGGGCGGACGGGCCAACTACCAGGCCTGCTGCCGACTGGGGCCTGCTCCGGAAGCTGTTGGTGAGCTGCCCACCGTGCCATCCTGTTCAAGGATAAGTGCCCACTCTTGAGGCTCGTATTCACTGTTGGCAGGTTTCAAGGAAACTATTCATAGACTGAGCATCTGTTCTCTGTCCCATTGACCTCAAGCCTGCAGCTGCCACCATGGTATTCAGGCAGCGTGATGGCTTTCAGTCTTGTTCAGAGAATCAGGATTTTAGAGCTGGCAAGGACCTTAGACATTATATTGTTCATAAAACAGTCCCTTAAAATCACTACGTTCAGGGAACCACATTTCTCTGCCTCTGTAGTGACCCTGGAGATTTGGACGTGGAGTCTCGGCCCCAGATTACTAAAAGAAATCCCTCCCATCATTATCTAAGACAAATAGGCAAAAAGAAAACCTGCATTTTAATTTTTTTAAATGTTGACTAAGTGACCCTGGCCAATGCTTTTTTAAATTTTTTATTTATTAAACTGTAAATTTGAGGCTCTTTTTTTAATCTCAATTTTAGCATTTTGAATATAAAGTTCATTGGCAACATAGCCAGAACACCAGGAGTCGTGTTTTCAAGAAGGCTTTCAGTACCTAGTTTCTGGAATGCCAAGCCATAACTGTGGTATTGTAACTGAAGGACCATCGCTGACCTCTGCTTCCCTGGGAAGGAAAGATTTCACAGGTCATCTCCAACACCCTTGGGATGCCTTCAAAGTCATGGAGGCAGTAGGCATCTATATATATAAAAGCCTAAGCGACTGTTTGACCGGTAGCTGTGACGTGCACTGACCACCAGGGGGCAGACGCTCAACGCACAGGCATGGAAACATGGAACAGACTGATGAATCTCAGAGGGAAGGGGGTAGGGGGAGGATGGGTAGAGAAAGATCTTATATGCATACTAGAGTCCTGTTGCAAGGATTCGTGCACTGGTGGGGTCCTTGGCCTGACCTGCGGGGATTGGGCTGAAACCCGCAATCCAACATCCCCTAGGGGTCCCGGATTGCGAGAGGGTGCAGGCCAGGCCGAGGGACCCCACCAGTGCACGAATTCGTGCACCGGGCTTCTAGTCATTTTATAAAACAGCATAACTCACCCAACTTTTGAAATGTATAACTGCCTAATCCCACCTCCTTCAGTAAACTCCAAGACGGTTGGATGAGGAGCCTGGCTGGGAGCCAGGTAGGGGAGAGCGAAGAAGCCCTCAGAAGCCTGCCCAGCTAATGGAGATGGGATCAGTTCATGTGCTGAGTGGTTTTAAATATGTGACATTATGGTAGTTGCAGAATTTCCATAGTTGTAAGAAGAATGTACCCTCCACTGTGAGCGTCTCAGAGCTTCTTCCATGTATCTGGAAGAGTGTTATTTAGTTTTTACTGTGGGTTGAAAGTCATTTGAAAGTTTTTCTTGAGTGTTCAAAGCTACCAGAATGGTTGGAGTTTTTATGTCTCGTGCTACGTATCTGAAATAGTCACCTCTAGAAGCTCAGTTTTCCCTGGATCAGTGCACGGGTAACCGGGAGTAAGGTGTGCTGGAGACCATTCCCTTGAGAGTGGATGTGATTTTGTGGAGAGAGCGTGGCTTTGGATTGTTAATCCCTTCAGTTGTGTAGAAGCCAAGGAGGGTGTGGGTAGAGAGGCCAGCTCTTTCTCCCAGGCACGCCAGGAAGAAAGGAAGGGAGAGGGTGTTGTCCATACGTGTGGTACCCAGGTGGCGCAGTTCATGGATTCTCAAACATTTCCCTCTGCAATTCCAGAATGAAGAGCTCCGAAACTTGTCCCTCTCTGGCCATGTTGGATTTGACAGTCTTCCTGACCAGCTGGTCAACAAGTCGACTTCTCAAGGGTTCTGTTTCAACATCCTGTGTGTTGGTAAGTGACTTACCACCTGCTGCCGGGCATGGAGTCTGACCTTCAGCTGGCAGGTGCCTGTGAGAGAGACTCATTTCAGAGAAATAAGCAGAATGACATTTTCACTTTTTTTTTTCATTAGTAAAGCAGGACAATAATACCCACTGTCTATCTGTCCCACCGTTACAAAGATGCTTGTATTTGGGTACATGCTTTGTAAGTTTTGTGGTGTTACTCAAACTGTTTTTACTTAGTGGTCAGTTTAATGTTGTTATTGAATCATTTATTTTCATTTTTGATAGGGGGAGGGACTTAGACCCTAACTAGACACTAGTTAAAAGCGGGAACTGAGATGTACATACATAGTAAGACCACTCAGAAGCCTGTTAAGCATGTGTTGCCGGGGTCCCTAACTGCAGTGCACTAGTAACCTCCATTAGGGGTCTTTTAAAAGATATTCTACCTACAGTAAGTAAAATCTGAAACTACTCTAACTACTTTAATAAACTTACAGTGTTTAAAATGTTTGCTTTGAGAGCAAAGACAACTTACAATTCTGTTTCATATTTGAAATAAACTTTCTGCCCAATTGTCAGATTAACCTTTCATCCTTAAGTTGGAATCTAAAATTGACCCAAATTTATTCCTGGTAGACAAATGGCAAAGGTCAAAGGGATCTGGCTTACTTGTATCCTCAGTACATTTTATTCATACCCTTTAAAACATCACACATTAGCCTAGGCCACTGGCTGTGGTATTTTTCTTCTTCTCTTTAGTCATATCCCTTTTAAGCCGAGAGGAGGAAGGTAGAAAAGGAGGTGGGAAAGGGGGAGGCAGAAATACAGCTCTCCTGTTGATCTGAAGCAGAACTGCTCCCGGGACAGATGATGGCCTTTCCTGCGACAGGTCGCTCCGGATGAATGAGGGGCCCGGCTGAGCCTCAGGGCAGTGGTTTGGACGGCACTGGTTTGTTGCCATTGTCCTCTGGGCATGGACCCCCAAGACTTCGCTCTGAGGTAGAGCAACAGGAATTCTGTGTTTCTGTAGAGCCCAGTGGACCCAGGCTTGGCAGAATGTACCAGACTCACTTCTCTTGTCCAAGGAAAGTGTAATGAATTTAGAAAAGGTGTGCACTCCATGAAAAAACCACCATTTTTTGCCCTGACCGGTTTGGCTCAGTGGATAGAGCTTCGGCCTGTGGACTGAAGGGTCCCAGGTTCGATGAGAGAGAAACATCAATCAGCTGCCTCCTGCACACCCCCTACTGGGGATGTGCCAGCAACCAAGGTCGATGTTTCTCTCTCATCAATGTTTCTAACTCTCTATCCCTCTCCTTTCCTCTCTGTAAAAAATCAATAAAATGTATTAAAAAACCACCATTTTTTTAATATGATCCCCATGAGGGGAAGGGGGAGGGGCAGGTGTTTCCCTGTTGGGAAGTATTTGAACATGTTGCATGCAGCTGCTGCACTGGGTGCTCATCAGCAGAAAGCCACCATTGATGGGCACACGGACCGGCTCGCTCTCTGGCGTGAGGTCCGGGGCCAGGCAGCCAGCTCTCCTGCTTGCTTTCTCCTTTTCCCTACGTGAAGTGAAGCCGTTTAACATTCAGCGGGGCGCCTCCTGAGTGGCAGCTAGTTCTACAGCGTGGCATAAATGAATTGCCTTTTCTCTTACAGTAAATGCTGCTTGCAGAGCCTGCAGTTCCTCATTAGCATAGCAATTTGTTGGCATTTTTTTTTTTCTATTGAAAAGTGGGCTGAATTGTAGGCTGATTACTATTCTGGCTTCTCTTCCCTGCCTCCCCCAGCCTCGTCTACAAAATCGGCTTCACAAATACATGTGAGAGTTCTGTCCCAGCCCCTGCAGGTTGGGGAACCTTCCAGGGGCACTGGGCTTGCTGGGCGGACCTGGTTTGACAGGGTGTATGGTATGAAGTGCGTGTGTGGGTTCCTGGGCTGACCCCTTGTGTTAAATAAATAGCACAGGTATGATGCTGGTTGGAATTCCTCCCAAGCCACGTCCATGCTGCCCTGTTGGATTTGCAGAGCAGCTGCTATTTTGACTCACTTGGGTGGGTAACAATACCTATGATTCTTAGATTTTTTTAGATTCTGGTTCTATTCTTAGACATGTTTAAAATTAGTTTTTCAAACTAACAAAAATAGTACATAAAAAAACAACCCCCTCCTTTTTGTTTTTCACCCGCATTTCCATTCCACAAAAATAACACTGAAATCCTTCTAGAAACTTTCTACATCGTTCTGTACTTGGAAATTATTTTTGGAGGCTTAAGAAACAACACCAGTTTATTACTATTAGTATTATCTTGTGGTTCTCTACAAGGTCAAGATGTGTCCCCCTGGGCTCCATTCAAGGCATCGGCCTACATTCAAGGCATTGGCAGGACCACAGTCCTTTCCAGAACCTCTAGGACAGCGGTTGCCAACCGGTTGTCCGCGGTTCACTGGTGGTCCATGAGGTCCGAAAGGTTGGTGACCACTGCTCTAGGGGAGACTACATGTCCTTGCTTTTTTAGCTTCTAGTGGCTCTTGGACCCTCCATTTTCAAAGCCAGCAACATTGCACTTCTCTCTCTCTCTCTCTCTTACTGCTCTTGTAGTAGGAAAATTTCCATGGAGAATTGCTAAAATCCAGTTTAAACTCATTAAGACTCTTCCTCAACCCCCAACACTGAAAAGGCCATATATTGAATGGTGGCCTGAGTCCTCAGGGAGGGAGATGGGGTAAGCTCAGCTCCAAACACAAGAGGTTCCCATGGGGAAGAGAACTTGACCAGAAGGCAGACGGGCATGAGAGAGGCACACACTGGACAGGTACAGCAGCTCTTTCACAATTATATAAGAACTTACTAATTTTGGTTTTAGAGCTCATGCAGCTCATATTCTTCTGTGTGTGTTGGTTTTTTTAAAATATTTTTTTATTGATTTCAGAGAGGAAGGCAGATGATGGAGAGAGAGAGAGAAACATCAAAGATGAGAATCATTGATCGGCTGCCTCCTGCACGCCCCACACTGGGGATGGAGCCCACACCTGGGCATATGCCCTGACCAGGAATTGAACCGTGACCTCCTGGTTCATGGGTCAAAGCTCAACCACTGCGCCACACTGGCCAGGCTGTGTTTTCTTTTTCTCACTCCACAGTAAGTCCTGGCTGTCCTTCCCTGCCAGGATATCAAGCCAACAGATTCTTTTCCATAACTCTTTGGAGCCCTGTGGTCAGAGCCAGCATCAGCTCTTTGGGACACAGGGGTGTCAGCATTAATATTAAGCATACTTATCCTCAGAGAGTGGAATGCATCAAATCTTTTTACCATAAATATTTTACAGCAAAATATCTGTATAAGAAAACAACTCTCTGCCAATCAATGGTCCATCTATTTTTAAAGTAAGAGTCTGTGAAAAAGCGTTCTAGCTTTTGACAGTCCTCAGAGGAATAGGTGTCATATTTAGCTTAAGAGCATCCATGGTACTTTCTTTCCTCCTTGTCATCCTACTGTCTGTCTGTAATTTTTTACACAGTATGTGTGTGTTTGCTGTTTACAGCACCATTGAATTATTTTCATGTGATAAGTATGGAAGGGACTTGAGGATTTTTTAAAAAGTTATGAGCCTAGTAAGGAAACTGATGATGTTTCTCAAAATTTGTTTTGTGGCAAGGTGTACTGTGGGTCGCAAACAGAGGAAATGAACCGGGGCAGAAACGAATCCTGGCATGAGCTTAGTCTAGTTTTAGAGGCACTGAATTAAATGTCTGTTATCAGCATCCATCTCTGTGGAGCTCTGGAAAGAAATGTAACCAAGAGTGAGAGAGTAGTGTTCGCTTAACCGGGAAGAGAATTCTTGAAGCTAAACTGGGTACCAGAATACCCGGGAGTTCATAGTTCCCTCCCTCTCCATCTTGCTTGCAACACACTGAATCACCCCAAAGCTGCACTTCGGTTTAAATGAAGCCTTTTCTGTCTTCCCCATCCAGAGAATCTAAATTAGTGTTCAGCCTTTCTTCACAATTTAAAATGTAAATATCTTTCCCATTCATTTTCCAAAATAAAAATGACACTAGCTCTGCGAGAAACTTCAGCATTGATGCAGCCGTATGTGGGGTCTCTGTGCACATGCGAAGAGGGAGAAAACCCCTCTTTGGAAGGGGAACCAGCTCAATAGCAGGGCCAAAGTAATTAACGATGCATTTTGAAAATAGATATTTTTAAAGTAACTCAACAATAATTGTTTTGAGGGAATGACAGAAGAGGAATAGAAAACTCACCAGTTTAAGATAATTTTAGTCAAGGCTGTAGTGTCAACGTAAACTGTAGGATTTTACAATCAAATCGTGAACTTTCTTTTATCCCATCTTGCTTTTCTAGGAAAGCATAGAAAGTGGTCTACAGGGTGAAATGAATGAGTAAATGAATAAAGATACAATTAACTCCCCAAAGTAAAGTGAAGTCAGAGATAGAGCCAGAACTCAAAGCCATCAGACCTGCCTATCAGGAATGCGTTTGCCTTTCAGCCAGCGGTCAGAGCATGGAGGAAAGCTGTTCAGCAGATATGTATTGAGCACATGCTATGTGCCAAATATGTTAAAAGTTTAACAATGACAGATTTATAGTATCTGTGAAACACAGTTTCAGCTGGACAGAGGTTCTCCCGGGGGTTTTCAGAAAAGATAAATGTCCCCACATCTAGGCCTAGGTTCCTGGGTGTCCCCGGGTCAGTGGAATGGATCCATGCGATGCCAAGTGTCACATGCTTTTCTTTCAAATCCCTCATGCAGGCTGGTGGGATTAGCCAAAGCATGTTTCATCAAAGGCGATTCTCTGAGGAGATAAAATGACACAGCTTAGGTACATAGCTCTCTGGTTGTCTGGCTCCAACCAAGAATAAAATGGGGAATCTTCAGAGCAGGTGGCAGACCTTCCTGCACAGTTACTTGGCTAATCATTCCAGTACTCAGCCTTGGCCATCAGAGTAAAAATGCTGCATCATAGAGCAACTATTTGGTCAATCTACAATTCCCTTCTAGTTAATTAATAATATGTAGTCCTTCTGCTTGTTTGTTGTTGTTGGGTTTTTTTGCTTGTTTGTTCTTTCAATGTCCAACTAAGAGCTTGTAGATTTAAGTAAGCCTGAGATCAGAACGGAAGAGGCGGGGCTGCTTTCCACTGTGATGTGGGTGTCATGCTCACCAGCATCTGCAGGAGCAGAAAAACAGAAGCCAAGGGGGGAGTGGGGGGGGGCGCTTCAGAAGTAAATCTCTAATTATTCTAACAACTAAGCATTTAGGTAGATGAATTTACAACAGAAACACACACACACACACAAAGCAGCACACTTGGAAAAATCTACCCAAGTGGCAAATCTCAGCATAAAAGATCATCAGGATCATTTTTCTTTCCAATTAACTTTTAATAAAGGCCAGGTATTCTGCTAAGGAGTTTGGAAATGCTTCAATGTTGGTGTTAGTCATTCATTTTCTCAAAATATTGTTACCGCTGTTTAGTGTGAATTGGAACCTATGCCTGGTAGGCTTTCAGTTACTCAATTAGAGTGAACAAAAATATTCTTCTCAAAGGTAGAGACAATGTCCTCCTTTTGGAGGCTGGAGAGAGGCCTCAAAAACTAATGCATTGAAAACTCTCCTAGTTCTAGGATTACTTTTATTCCAAAAGCTGTCATTTCTTACTGAACTGCTTTTGGTGAATCACACTGCTTCTGGAGTAGCTGTATCTAATTACAGCTCTGAAAAGCACAGAGCATAGAAATGGAAAGTAAAGCACTCTGAAATTTAAAGGAACAGTGGTTTTGCCAAACCATTGATTAACCCTGTGCTGTAAGTAGGGCCTGGAATGCTAATTGTTCATAATTTCCTCCCTAATGTAAATGATAAATTACCTTAAAAAAAAAAAAAAAAAGCCTGGTGTTCCTGACTGACGCGTGCTTAACTAATTCTCAGCCAAGTCAATGAGATGGTAATTTCAGTCCTGTCATGGTAACCCAGAGTCCCTACCAGGGAAATTGAAGGCTTTATTGCTGTCCTTAGGGAAAGAAAGTTGAATGGATCACTGTCTACAGACAGAACCTTTACCTTATAAGGCAGTCCTGCTGTCGTCCCTTTGTCTCGGGCCTGAAAATAGGTAAATCGTGAAAAGAAGTTTGCTGCACTTGAGAAAGGTACACATGTAACAGGTATGTAAAATGCCTGGAGTACCTACCGTATCAGATTGCCTACCTGATTCTAAGTATCTTAAGAGTGGGGGCCCTGTTTTGTTTCTGTATCCATTACTCAGTAACTTTGTTTTGCTCAAAGTTATTTTGTTAAACCATGAATCATGGATATGAGCAGCGTTGAGCTCTATCATGTTATGTTAGGGAGCACAGACTAGTATAGATTACTCTTACTACGGGCCTTTTTGGTAAGAACACTCAGGAAGGCAAGGAAGACAGGAAAATGTCTCAACTGCTACACAGGCAGACTTCATGGAGATCTGGAATGACATTCAGGATGTTACCGAAGTTCACTCAGTGTCTGCTGTCTCTTTTTAGTCACCATTTTATGCCCAGCACCTATCCTTGTCACATAGTAAATGCTCAAGTATTATTAATGACTAGAGGCCCAGTGCACGAAAATTCCTGCACTGGGGAGGGGGGGGTCCCCTCAGCCCGGCTTGCCCTCTCTCACAGTCCAGGAGCCCTCAGGGGATGTCCTACTGATGGCTTAGGCCCACTCCCCACAGAGAGCGGGCCTAAGCCGCAGCCTGGCCTCCCTCTGTGGGAGGCGACTGGGCTGATTAGGGGAAGGTGCTGCCCCCATCGCCCCGCTGCTGCTGCCACTGCCGGCCATGGCAGCTGCCTGAGCGCCGGGCCTCACGGCCACTGTGGCTTTGTCTGGATGGATGTCCAGAAGACATCTACCCTAATTAGCATATTACCCTTTTATTAGTATAGATTGAATTTCAGACACTAAGCTCTATTGTGTCTATCTGCTCTCTTTCTCCTATATTCCCAGCTAATGGTCTGTCAACATCTTCAGTTTACCTGAAGCCTTTGCTGCCTCATGGCTTCTGCTTATTCACTTCTCTCTGTGTAGCTTTTCTTATGCCATTGTCATGTGTGCAGATTGTGTATCTCTCACTCCAACTGCCAAGGAGGGGAGTTCTGATTGGATAGACAGGTCACTGCCCAGGATGGGGCACTGTCTCAGAGCATCATGATTAGGCTTCCGTGGGTGCCTCTGTTCAGGGGGCTAGCCCTGGTTTCGTTACCTGTGGTCACTAGGTATAAAGTATTGTCTTGCTCATAAGAGGAATGTGGTTATGGCAGACACTTAGAATATTATTCCCATCATAGTAAATTAGAGTCTTGATTGATATTCATGCAGTCATGTTCCAGGTCAGATTCTATGGCATGGGAGAATACCACAGCAGGCTAGTTCGTCGCATTCCCAGAACGTGGCACAGAGCTTGGTGTACAGAGTAAGCAATGGAAAAATACTGGCTGAATGAAGGCTGAAAGGAGAGGAAATGCTTTGATCTTGTATGTATCCGGGGCCCGATGGGCAAGGTCAAAAAGTAAGGCAAACATGCTTGACCGACTCATTCTCTAAGTGAATCATTGTAGTCAATGGCAAACCACACAAGGCTGCTCCCTAGAGAAAGCTCAGATCCAGAAAAACGCCATCCTCCTTCACTTTTGCTTTATGTTGGAAAACAGTGAGTAATATGGAACTTATAATTAAGTGGATTTTGCCATTACAGTGGGAGACTTGCCTCAGGGCTGTAAATCCCAGAGTTCCTTTTTCTCCATGCAGTTGTCACCATCCTAACAGGCATCATCGAAACCCGTTAGAAGAGGACCTGTTCCTGGGATTTGCCGGAAGGGCTGCAGCATATTAGCATGTTCAAATTGAGTTGGAAACCTAATTGGGAGATTTTCCAAATTCAAAATAAAAAGACTTTCCTATGGATAACGTTCTTTGATTTCTACTTCCCCTTTTCCGCCATCACATATTGAATCACTAACACCAGCACCATGACAAGGGTGGGGTGGATTCTTTCTCCTTGCCAACTATTTTTGACTCAGAATTAATTTGGAATTAGAATGAAGGAGAATTTTGCTTGGTTTTATGATGAAGGTCAGGCTAAAGTTCTTTGTAGCTCCACATTTGTGTCTCACCATTTGATTAGTACAGTGGTACCGGGTACCTGCCACTCTGCTCTGCACATATTAGGGTCTCGGTAAACACTTAATGACTTAAATTATCAAGGTGAATTAATAAGGCCACTGTCGCAGGTCATTTAACATGATTCAGTTTCATTGTTTCAGACATCACTGTGAAACGGGGAGAACTCTCTAGTAAATGTTTACCATCTGGACTCCAGCTGAATAGGAAAAGACAATGAGGATAAGATAGAGGATGCACACAAATTCATAACTATAAGCGGAAAATATTGGGCAGTCTGTTTTTTCTGTAATAGGAAAGTCAGGATGCTTTGTGGGCTCCGTGTAGGTGTTCGTCACACAGACTTGGGTTAGAACACTGCTCTGCCACTGAATAATGTGACTTCAGGCAGGTTACCTACACCCTACCTGAGCCTTCGTGCCCGGCTGTGAAACGGAGGGGGCAGGAGCACCTGTTTGCTTCATGGAGGATTGTGATGGGGTTTAAATAGGTCACGTGTTGGAAGCTCTGGCCACAGCGCCTGGCACAAAGTCAGCACCCAGTCACTTGGTGGGCGTGTGATTGTGACTGTTACTCCAAAGTGTTGTTTTGAAAAATGTAACTATGACAGCAGTACCTGGTATCAGATAATTCAGTATAAATGGAATATGTCTCTTCCTAGTAACAGAAATTCAACAGTATAATTTCCTTTAGGTAACAGTTTTACACACCAACAATCAGGAGAAGAAGAGATACCCTTTACATCTTTGTAATGTGCACACAGGTTGTTTCTCTAGAGCCAAAGAAGAGTATCTTGATCTGTAAGTTCAAGGTCTTTTCTGCTCAATAGTTTCTAAAGCTAATTATTATGACATTTCTAGGGAGGTATTCAATAAAGCTCACCTGGAAGGAACTATCTTTTCGTGGAGGGATTACTGGTGGTAGTGGCTTTTTTAGAAGCTGTACAAACATGGTTACGAAACACGCGTGCGAGGCACTGACACGTTCTCCGATTCCTCCCCTGTGGTCATGTAGGTGAGACGGGCATCGGCAAGTCCACGCTAATGGACACTTTATTCAACACCAAATTTGAAAGCGACCCCGCCACTCACAATGAACCAGGCGTCCGGTTAAAAGCCAGAAGTTATGAGCTTCAGGAAAGCAACGTCCGGCTGAAATTAACCATCGTGGACACTGTGGGCTTTGGAGACCAGATAAATAAAGATGACAGGTATCTCTTGGGATTTTGTGGGGATATAAGTGGATGAAGCAATAACATGACCCATCCCTGGTAAATTCAAAGGCTGAGTGTTCACTGATGATGGTAGTTGGTCCCACTGTATCGATGAAAAGATGACACGTTCTTGTCCTGAGACATTTTCTTAAAGTCAGAATCAGCCTGTGTAATTGATTCCAGCTAGTGTAAGCGGAAAGGGGACGTGTTAGAAGGGATAAGGTAACTTATGGCATTTTTCCAGGAGGGCCATGGAACCAGGTTTGGGGGATTTCCCATCGGGAAAATCAATTTAAAGGAACAGAAACATACAACTGCCCCACAGGACAGTTAGCGGAAACACCTACCGCCAACCACCTTGTGGCCCTGGGCTAGGTCCCTGGAACCTCCACCAAGTGTGTCCAGATAACCAGGGGCCTCCACCATCGCCTGCAAGAAGAACCCTTCCCCTGCGTGACTTCTGCCTCGGGTTGCTCCTGAACACCCTAAGCGAAGGAAACATTTTTATGAAAGATCTGTTGGGAAAATCTTAGTTTCTGGCTGACTACTTTAAATGTTCCATTTTATCTCAAAAGAAGTTTGAGAAAGTTAAAATAAACTGTCCCAGGCCAAAGATGTTTCCAGGAGGGGGCTTCCAGAGACATTTTTGAGCGATGACAGCATTGTGGGAATAAAACACCAAGTCAACAAATGATGGTGTGTTTACTCAGAGCTCAGAAACTTCATTAGCACCAGGGCTTTTCCTGTTTGGTTTTTTATTCAAAACTATGTATATTATATACATGTGTTTTGTATAAAGGAACTTGAACTATTTTTTTTATCTAGAAATGTGCATTGCCTAGATAGATGGGGGAGGGGCAAAAGTAGGTTATAGTTTTTGTATGGAAAATAATACAATAATTAATAAATAGTAATACAAGAATAAAGTCTGTTTCATGCACTCACGACTGAAAACCTACTTTTGCCCACCCTGTATTTTAACTATCGCTTATCTATATGAGCACCATGGTAATGAAAAAGGAATACTTAATTCCTTATATAGCTGAGCACTGAGCTCTGTTTTATCTATAGAGCAATTTAAATGCTCTTCAATAAACATTGTCCGGTAATAACAGAAGAACGTGTTAGATATAGTGAGAGATGTTATTTTGCTGGTCAAAATGGACTATCTGTACATTGTGTAGGGGTCGGGGACAGCTGAGCTCAGACCCTGCAGCTGAGCAGTTGCTCTTAACTTAGGACCTCAGTGCCAAGCAATGATGGCGAGGTTACTGCCTGAAGGCTGTTGGTAATGCCAAGTGGAGTGGATGAAGAGAAAACCCTGGCGACCAGGTGAAGAGCACAGGTGCATTGTGGGAGCCCGGGAGAGGGCTGGGGCCCCTGGTCACTGTGCAATCACAGCGCACACTCAGAGCAAGGTGTGTCTCCATCTCCGACCCGCACGGTTTCTCCCTGGGGTTAAAGTGTGTGCACACCGTTGGGGAGGCAGCAACTGGACCTTTTCAGGATCCCTTTCTGCAGGATTGAGACTATCCTCCAGCATCCTGCTGCTAAGATTCCACGTGCTGTTCTGGCTCAGAGTCATGCCTCAGTCCTGCCCCTGCGTTTTTGCCCGCCTCTAACCAGGGACTTTCCCTTAGGCGGGTGGGTTTGCACTCACCTGCACCGACCAGCCAGTGGCTAGTCCTGTGCCGATCCTCATCGCTGCAGCTGGAGGCCTCTTTAAGAAATTATCTGACTCATTTGGGTCAAATAGTAGTTTCCAAGGAGACTTAGAAGAGAGGAAGTGTGATATTAACCTAACCTAGATACCAAATATTTTTTTTTCTTCTGAAATGTCTTGACAGCTGTTGCATAACCTCTTTCAATGGCATTTAGAACTCTGTGCCCCAGAAGGCAGGGTGGACACTATGGACTGTAAACCCAAATGACTACTGTTTAAAATACTTGTTCAGATAGGCCCCGCATCCATCCAAAAATTGGAAGTGGGATATGCATTTTTGCGTTGATATGTAACCGTATGGTAAAGGATGTGCTGTTTCTCCGAACCCATGATTATTTCACTAGTGTGGGGATTAGGCAAGCTTTTCTGCCATTGATGCAAGACCTCAAGAATGTCCCAGTTTGTTTATATAGGCTTCGGACATGTCGGCATTCCTGCAGCATTATCTGCCTGGGACCAGGCTAGCTAGAAGGAGGCAGGAAGAGAGATCTGGTAAGGTTTCCTGTTATGTTTAGCACGATTAACTCTTTGTGGATTAAGGTCTTCCTTGTTTTGTTGTCTGTGCTCTTCAGTGAAGAAGGAAAGGGGTCTGGAGAAGAAGGAAACCAAATTTTGCTGTATTGCTGGAAATCGAATAATTAGCCCTACATGTAGGAGGTGGAGACAGACCGTCAATGGCTTATTAACTAGAATGATAAATAGCCCTGCAAGGCATGGGTGGTTGAAATTCACTTAGAGAGAATCCTCAAACTCATCAAGTCTTCATCAAAGTTATAAAAATGGAATTGAAGTAGACTGTTTGGTTTTTGAGTTCTAATTTTTTTTTTTTACACTTTCTGGTGAAGGTAGTTGTGGGATAACGAAAATTGACTTTGGTTAACAGATAGCAAAGATAGAGAAAAATACATGGTAGGTGTCTGGTCAAATATAAAATGGAGAGTCAGCCCTGAATGATGGCATTGGCTATTTTGCAAGAATGATCAGTGGGTGGATAAAAAACATTGTATGAACATTTATTCCATCAGTTTCATAGTCAAACATTTGCCCTTTTATTGTGTTTTTAATGGCTGGAGGTATGTGAAAAAAATGAGTGGTGGGTAAAAGGGAATAGCCCCATGCCATAAAAGGAAATCATGTGAAAATGGAAGGGCTAGATATGGTGTGCTCTCCCCTCCCCCCATTTCCTCTGATTTATATAGCTACAATCCAGAGATGTTAGAATTGGCCAAACAGAATATAAATAGGTGTCCTTTCTATAAGAATGGAAACTAGCAAAAGGCAAAATAGGGATTCAGTGTCCTTGTCTTTGCAACTGAAATGCTGGTAAGGGGAAGTGGAAAGGAGAGGAAGACAGGGCAGAGGATCTGTGTGAAGGGTTGTGAACCAGAGGATAACGCCTCTGGAGCTATTTCATCAACGTAATTAAATCTTCCACAAAGGACTAGTGATTTTGGTAAATAGTTCTCCTGGAGTACATTTTTTATTAGGTTAGAATGATGCACAAAATGGATGGGCTTTTGTGTGGGGGAGGTAAGGGGGGGACCCGAGGTTTTTGACTTGACCAGCGGTGTGGATGGAGGTGCCGTTCGCTGTGCTGAGGAACATGGGCAAGTGTGGGTTTGGGGGCAAGATGAAGTGTTTGATTTTAGACTCAGTTAGAAGAGCACCTGGAGACATCTCGTAGGCAGTCGGATGGATGGGTCTGATGCTCAGGTGAAGGATCGGGTTGGAAGTAGAGATTTGTGAGTCATCATCATCAGGTGGATGGCAAGTGAAACAGAGGAAAAGCTGTGATTTTCCAGGGAGACCACGTAGAGAAAAAGGAGAAGAGGAAAGATTGGCCAGCACTCTGTAACAGGAAGTCAGAGGCGGCCCGAGCTGTAAGAGAACAATAGAGTTCTTTGGCTATATTGAATCCAGGGCAGAAAGCATTCCTCACTTGAAATGGAGAGATGATGGGCCTGACTGGCATGGCTCTGTGGTAGATCATCAACTGATGAACCAGGAGGTCACGGTTCGATTCCAGTCAGGGCACATGCCCAGGTTGCAGGCTCAGTCTCTAGTAGGGGGCGTGCAGGAGGCAGCCAATCAATGATTCTCATCATTGATGATTCTCTCCCCCCCCCCCCCCTTCCTCTCTCAAATCAATAAAAAAAAATATTTTTTTAAAAAAAAGGAGAGATGGTCTGTCTTCCGTAATCTTGGAGCATCAGAATCAAACCAGAGGCTAAAAGGGAAATTAATAGAAAGCAGAACATGCTTGGACAATGGCTGGGGAGGAGGTGCTGAGAAGCAAATTAGGAACTGGGGAGCCAGAAAGGAGCAATTGCTGTGAGCTGCTTTTCCTCCCCTTGGGGCTGAGGGGGGGCTGGGGGAGTATCTTGATTCCCCCAACACATGCCTCGGTGTCAGGAGACTGAAAGACCAGGACCCGGACTGACAGGCATCATGGCCCTCATTGGAGGGGCCAGGTCCCTCCCTGACTGGGTATGAGCTCAGTGGCAGAGCGGTTGCCATGGAACCAGGTGAGGGTAAAGTTCTCTTGTTTTTTTCCCCCTTGTCTTTTAAAAATGTCAGGCATGCTATTTCTTTTTCTTTTTTTAAAATATATTTTATTTTTTACAGAGAGGAAGGAGAGGGATAGAGAGTTAGAAACATCGATCAGCTGCCTCCTGCACACCTCCTACTGGGGATGTGCCCGCAACCAAGGTACATGCTCTTGACCAGAATCGAACCTGGGACCTCTTGGTTCGCAGGCCTACACTCTATCCACTGAGCCAAACCGGTTAGGGCAGGCATGCTATTTCTTATTTGTTGTTTCTTATATGACAGTGAAACAGTTATATCTTACTTTTATGTGCTAGTCCTTTACAGATATTAGCTCACTCGTTTACCACAATAGCTCTCTGATATAGATACCATTTTTGTCCTTGATTTATCTATGAGGAAACTAAGACACAGGGAGCTTTAGTAACTTGCTCAAAGTCACACAGCTAGTAAGTTGTAGAGTAGACTGTGGTCTGAGGTGGTCTAGCTTAAATCTATGCTTCTAACCACCCTCCTATATAACTATCCTGGAATAAAGATGAGGATTACTATTGTTATATAATGCCTGCCTATATGTTAAAATTGAAAAACATAGAAGACTTATCACTTGCTCATCCTTTTCATTGGAATTTTGCTTGCCATGATTGAGAACTTTATTCTTATTGCTGAGGCACATTCCACTTTTTTTTTTTTTTTTAACCTCTAGAGACTTGTCTGCTTAAAATGAACCAAGGGTTTGTGATAAGTTTCCAAGGAAAAATGTCATCAAAAAGCTTTTCTGACAGTTTTGGTTTGAGTCATAAATTTGTTTGGTTTCTCTGTTTTATTTTTACTTTGGTTTTTTGTTTGTTTTTCACTTAAGGTGTCTGCTGTCATCTTCATTTTAAAAGATTTGTAGTTCCCTTCCAGGGATTTCAGTTAATTTATAGTCCTGGGGCTTAGTGTTGGAAGGTTTTTATATTTCTTAAAGTTTAAATCATTCCTTAGCACCGTAGTAAGTTGGGGAGAATCAACCTGTTGTATTCCCAATAGGCCGGTCTCACTGCTGCTGACTAACCTCTCCTGAGCAGCTAGACCCCTGGGACCCAGAGGAGTTCATGGCTTATTCACAGTGACCTGTGTACCACCTGATATGCTTTTAATGATTGTGTTTATGGTCAGTTCATCGAATCATACATAATCACCCAAAAAAAGATTTGAATTACAACTTGGGGAGCAGAGGGTTATAAAATGTATCTTCAAATCGTAACATTTAGAGTTGGAAAGAACCTAGAAGATCACAGTGGTCCAGGCATTTCAGTTTATAGCTGGAATCCTGGAATGTGCCCAGGGCTTTATGAGCGCACAGAGAACCCCTAACCTCTGGAGGCACGGGCAGAGGCCCAGGCCGGGGCTCCCAATAGGAGGCGGTGCCATGTCCTGAAATTACAGACCAGTTTTATTTTGTGCACCAGTGTCAGTCAGTTGGTGTGGGCTGTCAGAATCACTTTGTTGGGACAGATTTGGAGGCTCAGTTTTGCCCCAAGAGGAAAGAATGCCGCCGCCTCTTAGCAATATCTTCAGGGGTTCCATGGGGGAATTGACCGCATGCTACACTTGTTTATCGTCTGTTTTAGAGGATGCCTGTTAGGCAGGATGGTGATAGGAAGGAGACCGTCCCAGGTAGAAGAGCTAGTGTGAGCAAAGGCATGGAGGCAGAGCTTGGTGTGCGAGGCTGGGCCGGAAACAGTGAGCCGGGTGGTGTGGGACCGAAGACAGAAGGCCCCGGATGCAGGGAATCGGGCTTTAGCTCTCGGGGCAGGGGGGACCGTAGACATTCCTGGAGCCTTGTTCCACACTGAACTGCTGGGGAGCCTTGACTAGAAGCGTGCTGATTGAAAATGTGCTTTAGAAAACGTTCTTCTGCATTCCAGCTACAAGCCCATCGTGGAATATATCGATGCCCAGTTTGAGGCCTACTTACAAGAGGAATTGAAGATCAAGCGGTCTCTCTTCAACTACCACGACACCAGGATCCACGCGTGCCTCTACTTCATCGCCCCTACTGGGCACTCCCTGAAGTCCCTGGACCTGGTCACCATGAAGAAGCTGGACAGTAAGGTACTCGCCGCCCGTCTGCTGCCCCCACTCTCCTGTCAGCTCACCGTTGTTCCAAGGCCCCAATGTATTCTCTGCTTTCAGTGTACATTTTGTTTTTTGTTTTGTTGTAAAACATTTTTTAAAAACAGTTACGGGTTCACAGCAAAATTAAGAGGGAGGTACAGAGATTTCCCACATACCCCCGCTCCCCCCCCCATGCATAGTCTCCCCCATCACCAGCATCCCCCTTCAGAGTGGTACATTTGTTACAATTGATTAACTGTGTCGATAGATCATAATCCCCCAAAGTCCATAGTTGACATTAAACTTCCCTCTTGGTGTACATTCTGTGGGTTTGAACAAATGTGTAATGACATGTATCCATCATTATAGTATCAGGCACAGTAGTTTTATTGCCCTGAAAACCCCCATGCTCTGCCTGTTCATCCCCCAAACCCATAATTTGTGTTTTCTGGTTTATCGAACCATAGGGTTGAGCAATGTGAGAAAAATGCTTCAAAACTTCTCTGGATGTTAGGAGAAAACAAAAAAAAGCCATGTAACAGCTTTGTTACAAAGCATTTTTAGTTCTTTTTCTTATTTTTTAAATAGTTTATTGATTTTTTTTTAGAGAGAGAGGGAAAGAGAAACATCAATGAGAGAGAAACATCCATCAATTGGCTGCCTCCTGCAAGCCCCCTCTTGGGCATTGAGCCTGCAACCTGGGCATGTGTCCTGACCAGGAGTTGAACCGGCAACCTCCCGGTGCACAGGACAACATACAACCAACTGAGCCACACTGGCCAGGGCTATTTTTAGTTCTTACATTAGCATAGTATATGGTCTGGTGAGTTGGGAAATTCCTTAGTGGAGACAGGGAAATGGTCATAAGAGGGGTTAAATTTAGGGAGATTGAAACATAAACTTATGATTTCTTTATTTCCTTAAAAACTTTCACTAGATCTCTTAAAAGGTTTGGCTTTAATTTGAAGTTTAGAATGAAAAAAGAAGTTGATTTTTTATCTGTGTGGTAACAGTCCATCTTAGATGTTGAAGCTGACTGCGCCCATGAGTTGAAAAGAAGTGAAGTCCTAGTTTCAGTTTGACCCCTGAGCTTTCCACATTGATAACCTCTCTCTCTCACAGCATTTGAAGGAAGGAGCTGATCTGCATTTCAGTTCATTTAATTTTCCATTTTGGGATAAATGGAAGGTAATAGATTTCTGAAATAAATCAGCAGCAGATGAGAACAACCACAGAACGAAGCTATGGTATTTTCTCCTTTTGAGTTCAATACAAAGTCTTATCAAACTGAAACTAAGACTATGATAACTTCAGAAAAGATTTGCAAGTCCCTGGGAATGAGGAAAAAGAGACCTTAAGTCTAAATCGCCTGGTTTGTCTGTCTACTCTGATCAAACTGGCCTAAAAACAGTGGCCCTCTGCCATTTTGTCTGTGTGGCTATTAACTGAACAGTCAATGTGTACAAAAGATAGCCCGTGTGAGCAGCCAGAGTTTCTGTTCCTTCGGTCCCGATCCCAATGTCCCACCGTTTCTCTCTCCAAGCGGAAGAGGAAGCCCAAGCGAGATGAGATTGGGAGTTGGTTGAGGAGTAGGTTTTTCTATCAACATGTCATCTCATTCTGGTTTATCAAGGATTTCTGATTTGGCTCTTGGGATAAAAGGAGAATCAAAGGAATGCAGACGTGACCTGGAAGCCTCCCTAGAGACTCTCCTCTGGCCAGGACGGCTTTCTCACGGAGTCCGTCCCTTTTCACCTGAGCTGGGTGGAGAGCAGGGTCCCAGGTATCGGATGGTAGCAGCATCTTATTGAAGCCTCGGTACCGACCAGGGAGTGGAGGAAAGTTAATCTTAAAAGTGAATTTTTAAGAATGTATGCTGTGGACAGCGCTGACTGAAGCTGGGAGACGAATGTCCCACCTCAGGGTCTGGGGCTTGCCCTGCAGGACACCTTGGCGCTCTTCGGGGCTTTCTGCCGCTGTTGTCAAACTCCCCTGGTCCAGGTAACCAATACTCTGAAAGCGAGCCCGGCCTCGGGCATAGGTCTCCTTCTGGCCTGAAGGAGTTGTGCAATGGAAGCTAACTTTCAAAAGAACTGGCTGGTGTGATTTTGAAAAGTTTAAAAGTAGGTGAAACCGTGTTTGTTTTGGTTAATAGTTAGGTGCTCCCCTCAGGTTATCAGAAGGACAAAAGGATGTTTCCTGCATAGAGCTGAATATTCCACTGTTCTAACTAACGAAAACTCTATTTTATACTGCAAACTACTGCCAGGAACGTGCAAAAATCAAGGTCCTAAGGAGCTGGGAGGGGCCTGAAAGGAGTGGCTGGTTACTCAAGGATAGGCGTCTTTGTTATCGCCTGTTCTCATAGAGCAGCGTCCTTTTACTCTGTGCGGAAGCGTGAGGTAGCCCAGGAGAGGAAACGGCAAGTGTGCTTCCAGCTCCGAGGCGAAGAGAAAGCGTTCGCAGGTGGAACTAAAAGATTATCCCATGTCGTCTTAATGTTGCACCTCCGTCAAAGGTCCTGTTGTCAATATCATCTCTGTTCTCCAAGTGAAGTTTATATGTTTTCACTTATCTGTTTGCTATTTTTATTCATTTGTCTATTTTTCTCACGTTGGAATTGTATGTTTTATAGGTGAACATCATCCCAATAATTGCAAAAGCTGACACCATCGCCAAGAACGAATTGCACAAATTCAAGAGTAAGATCATGAGTGAACTGGTCAGCAACGGAGTCCAGATCTATCAGTTTCCCACAGATGAAGAAACGGTGGCAGAGATCAATGCGACCATGAGTGTAAGTCCTCAAGTGAGAAAGGACCAGGCAGTGATGCTCCAGCAGGCTTTTCTTCGCATCAGCATGGCAGAGCGACGAGGGCACTAGACTGGGAACTTGATGTCTTCAGAGTGGCCTAGCTCTGCCACTAGTTCCAGTCATTTAGCCACTGTGCGACTGGTTCTCCCATCTATCAAATGGGAGAGTTAAGCAAGGTGGTCTCACATTTCCTCCCCACTCTAACAGTTACGATTTCTACAGCGGATCTTGAAGGGAGTGCCAGCCCAGCGCAGCTTAAGGGAAGCAGATCTCTGCTCGCTGTGCCAGGGTAGGCAGAAACATGGCCACCTGCCTCGCTTCGCTTCTGAGATTGGTTCCTGCCTCTCCCCCATTTTTTTACTTTTCCCCACCCTTTCCTGAATCATTAGGTAAACCAGCAGTTGAGGGTGTAATTTCCACATCACAGGGAGAAATTGGTCAGGAGATTAGTGATTAAAGCTGCAGCAATCTAGGTGTGCCTGGGAAATCATCTCTCCTGGCGAGCCCCCATCCGGCCGGGATAGCCGCAGCGTCCCCCTGCTCTCTGTGTATCTGAGCCATGGCTCAGCTCTGAGCCACAGTGGCTGTGTGTATCTTTTTTCATCGGGAAATGCGTAACTTCAGTAAAAGCAGCATTCTTGAATTCTTAACGTTGTAGATGACCTTCAGTGAAGTGTAATTAGCAGCTACCGAAGAGCCTGGCCTTACCTGAACGCATGCTAAAATTTGATTTTGATGTGTGCTAGTGGCAGAGGAAGCCAGTCTAATTTTCACATTTGTGGGAGGTTAAAGTATGTCATGAAAAATTGTCTAATCCCATCATTTTTAAATGTTACTAGTGGCACTTTTAAAAATTAACAGGCTTATTGAGATATGATTGATATACTGTACAATTGTTTTTCTAGTATATTCACAGACTTGTGCAGCCAATGCCACAAACAATTTTAGAACATTTTCTGCACCTCAGAAAGAAACCATCTACCTTTTAGCTGTTCATTCTCTAACCATCCCAGCCACAGGCAACCACTGATCCACTTTCTTGTCTCTACATTTGCCAATTCTGGTCATTTTCTAGAATGGGAGTCGTGCTGAGGTCCATCTAGAGCAGTGGTTCTCAACCTTCCTAATGCCGCGACCCTTTAATACAGTTCCTCATGTTGTGGTGACCCCAACCATAAAATTATTTTCATTGCTACTTCATAACTATAATTTTGCTACTGTTATGAATCGTAAATATCTGATATGCAGGATGTATTTTCATTGTTACAAATTGAACATAATTAAAGCATAGAGATTAATCACAAAAACAATATGTAATTATATATGTGTTTTCCGATGGTCTTAGGCGACCCCTGTGAAAGGGTCATTTGACCCTGAAGGGGTTTCAACCCACAGGTTGAGAACCGCTGATCTAGAGGATTCAATGACTTGGTCAAAGCCAGGCAGTTAGTAGCAGCCCTGAGATTTCAACCCAG